AATATTATATATATATTATAACACATACGTAGAACACGTGTTTTATATATATATATATATATATATATATATATATAATATTATATATATATTATAACACATACGTAGAACACGTGTTTTATATATATATATATATACATATATACATGTAATAAACTTAAAAAAAAGAAAAGAAAAAAATATGAAATTCCTTCCTTTCAAAATACCTTTTTAATAAACTTCGTCTTTCACTTTGTGTCTCTTCATATGCACAAAATAAAATACTATAATATACATTCAACACTATTCGATATTCCATAATATACTTCTATCGATCGAGAAGAATGATCGATTTTTCTTGTGTAACATGTGTCATTTGAAAGTGATAAAGAGATAATTGTAACAAGAGCAAGCACGTGGTGCAATTAAAGATCTTTGATAATCGTTGATATACGATCGTAATAGCAATACGACTATATCTAATCGATTAACGTGACGATTAAAGTATGATTTTTGATCATGTTTATCACGATTTTGTTGGCAATGACGAACACACGTTTCTTCGAGAAAAGAGAACAGAGTCGAGCAGAAAAACACGTACCGATTTTGCCGAGGGACGAACGTCGACTGAACATTATCGACGTTCGAAAAGACGACGGAGGTGGTTAGAGCGCGTTGAATTTCGAAACAGAATCGTCGTGAGAGAAAGAAAGAGAGAGAGAGAGAGAGAGAGAGAGCGAGATAGAGAAAGAAAGAGAAAGAGGGAGGGATAGATCAAAAGATTTTCTCTTTGTTAACAGCCCTTTATTCTTCAGGGTTGCATCAGGGTTGCTTTAGGGAAAACCCTTTAGAAAATGTTATTTTTATGATTAACTTTAACGGTTTTTTTTTCGGTAACCGAAAATATGCTCTTTTCTCTTTCTTTATTTATTTTTTCTTTAATATCTTTTCTTGAGAAATCCCAGTATTTATGGATTCGATTCACGTTGTTTACGTTTGCTTTATTCATCGATAATGTTTAATTCATTTTGTTATGTGATTTAGTGAAATTTCTGATATTTATGTTCGATAAGGAAATTTATCAAATCAAGATGACGCTCTTTTGGTTTCTTTTTAATTTATTTTTTCGAAGAAACTTTTTTATTCGTTATTAAACGATCAACCCGATTACGTTATTTTCGCGTAATTTAGTCGATCTTCAGTTCTGGAAAATTTTTTCTTCAAAGGAAACAAAGGAACTTTTTCTTTGTTTATCTCGTCATTATCGTCATTTTTTTCTGACATTTGATAAAATTGTTGTAAAAATAATAAAAGAGTTTAAGTCGTTTATTGCGTTTAAATTGAGCTAAGAAATGAGAGAAAAAAGGAAAAAAGAAACAGAAAGAGGAAAAGATGAAAGAAGAGAATATTAGTTATGACCAATCATAACTAATATTCTCTTCAACAAATATTAATTTAATTTTGTTTTTAAGAATGTCATAATAAATCGTTTTCACCTTCGGATATATTTCCTTCAAGTTATTGCGAGGAAATATTTCAACTTAAATTAGTCGCTTGTGTAATATAGCTTGATGGATCTCATTATATTTTATTATCCTTGACTCTCCAATATCTCTTTTCCATTCCTTCGATCCGTTTCTATAGCGATCTTGTTTTCATTACGGTAAAAAAGAACAAAAAGAAACTGCAATAAAAGAAGAAAAAAAAAATGCAGAGATCATTTCCGGGTCGAGTCGTAAGAACATAAGAGGTATAGTAATTTATTTGTTCTCTCTCGAGCAAAATGGAAGAACTTATTTTTTGTGATCTTCAATCTTTGTATTGGGTTAAAAAGTTGGCAGTATCTCTGTCTGAATGTATTTCTTTCTTCTTCTTCTTCTTCTTCTTCTTATTTTTTTTCTTCCGGCAATTTTATTTAAAATCGATCATAATATTTCTTAGGTTTGAGCATGTATCTTCGCGGTTTTTTCAAATTAGATCTGTATATATTTCTTCCTCTCGTCGATGATAAGCAATGTAAAAACAACATATTCGTATGTACATTCAATCTTTCAAAATTATTCCTTCCAACAGACTTTCTATTGAGATGAGAATTTGGAAGGGTTCGCAAAATTGATCGTGACGTAATTCCTTTCGAGGTCGTATTTTGGACGAACGAAAAACATAACAGAACATTCGACTCGATAATATTCGTGATTGTTATCGATATTTTTTTTTTGTCGTCGAGGCAATAAAATTTTATTATTCGAGAAATGGAAAAATAAAATTAGTATGAAAAAATGGCATAATTCTTTTTTGCTTTTTCTTTTGCTTCTTTTTTTTCCTATCCAAGGACGAGGTCATCGTCAACTCGAAGACGATCAAATCCTTGCCTGTATAACTCTTTTTTAATATCCTTTATAATATACGTTGAAACTATCATAGTCACGGTCTTATGAAACGTGCCACGGCCAAAATGCGAATATAGAATTATTCTCTTGTCAAAGTGCCAACAGAGAGCTCTCTTTTCTCGTTGCTTTTCTTTTCGTGTCTTTTGACGATACCAAAGCACTTGACTAATTAATAATAAGATTTAAGTTTTTTATTTATTTATTTATTTATTTATTTATTTCTTTATTTATAGCGTTAATAGATCGATCGAATAATGAAAAATTTAATTAAAGTCTCTTTAAATTTTCTTACCTTGTAGTTCCTTATCGTTAATCTTCTTTAGATCTTCGTATTCTCGTTGGTACTACGATGAAAATACACATAAAATTTTCTCGTCGACACTAACACGATTATGTAACAAATCGTTTCTCAATAGACTGATAACAAAGAAAAAAGAATAGGTAACAAGCAGTTCTATTGATCGTGACCAAATGATATACTTCGGATAGTACATTTCAATTTTATGAATTTTCTAATGCGCGTAGTAATGTGATAAATTCCTGGATTATTAATGCCAATCTCTTAAACTGGTTTAATGAATTCAAATAGTCACGTGACCATATCTATCCTGAAACTCGCGTGTGGAATACACAATATCGTTAGTTTTTATTAATCCTTCTTTTTCTATTCTCTTCTTCTAGATATTAAATGTTTATAAATGAAGAGAACAAACACACAGTTTCACTATTTGAAAATGTTGTAACGTATGTATCTAAATATGAATCCGTTCACTGAACGCGTCGATCACAGTAGAAACTTGATTGGCAGCTCAACGTCTACGCGTAAATTTCTGGTTTCGACATCTACATTGACGCTGGCTTGAAAAGGAAATGAGAGAATCGGTCAACGATAGAAGCAATTAATACGTTCACGTGGTCTTCAAGAAATTATTCTCGATCGTTAAATAAAATTTATTTTCCAATAAAATGATATGTAAATTATTAAAGAATTTTCAAATGCACGATAAATAATCTTCAACAAAAGAACGTGAGAAAGAGATAATAATCATTATCGTATACGTATAAAGATTGAAATGTTTTCGAGATAAATTTAATAGCATATAGATAATTGCGAGGCATTTTATGTAGTGAATATTTGTGATAATGGATACGCTTGCTTTGTCATGGATTGCAAAGACAGATCGTTGTTAGCAGTTCTCGACGAACATTCGGTGCTGACAGGTGATTTACGACTGGCATGTTCTCTATATGAAGGATATAAACGTACAAGTCAGTTTAAGTTCCTCCACAAAACATTAAGTTTTCTCCTCTTTTATTTCCTTAGAAATTCGAAAGAATTTATTTTTTTTTTCACCTTGAATCTCGTCAATCGTGCCCAAAGCATCGCGTTCGATAGTTGAAACTCATAAGTTTCTTACGAACAATAATATTCCTTCTTCTGATTGGAATCATACCTGTGTCAGAAAACATTGGATAAAGTGAGTACATTATATATATAAGTAATAGTATATTTGATTAAACAGTTTTTTTTTCATGTAAAACTTGCTATTATTGGAGAGTAAAAATACATTCTATAAGAGAATTATAGTTTTATGTATAATAATAATATATGTATATATATACTTGCATTTATTACCGATTATAACTTCTTTGTTTCTTTCCTCCAACTTTTTTCCTCCAACTTTCGTCATTTATATTTGTAACGAGTTTAGTTATATTTAGTCACCACAATCAATTCCTTTTATTGTTTCACTTAATCTAATCAGTTATTTAAGTTATAAAATAACTTGAAAATTTTGTTGCGACATTACTTGTAGGCTTTGTACAATTTGTAAACTCCTATAAAGCAAACTGGAAACAAACAATAGTTTGCCTTTGAAAAATTTAATCTGTGTAAATATAAGGTAATATATTACATTAGTGGGATGACACATAGATCACAGATTGTTTATTTTTAAGTAATCAGGTAATTAACTAATGATTGTACGAACGGTAATTATGAATAAATTTTATATCGTTGTATTTTACCTGCTCTATTTGTTTTACAGTTATACAACTTTCGAACGTACACAACATGTATACTTTATTGTTGATAGCCGTGTTGTCTTATGTCTCCCAAACATGTTTGGGTTTTACCGGTCGAGGACTCATCTATCCTGGACAAACCGATTTCTTCGAGTTGTCTATTATACATTTGAATGATTTCCATGCGAGGTATGAACTAATATAATGTATACAAATATTTATCTGTCTAATTACGGAACGATCGTGCTTGTTCGTTTGTTTGGTTGTTTCTTGTTTCATATATACGTAAAAATTTGTTGATTACTTTCGTGTATTTTATATAGACATTTATCTCTTACATAACCAATCGAGAATGAATATAGAAATAATTAATTTGTCGTCATAAAAATAATATTAAGAATTACGTAACATACGTTAGCCTTACTCATAACACAAGATCTTCATATAACAATATAGTGTGTCGTATTAAATTGGAGAACCGAAGTGGAATCTTCAAGGACGATACTAGATAAGATATTGATTCAACTTGTGTTATTTTCCGTGATACGTATGATCGTACATTCGGAAGTTATCTTACAATTTTTTTTTAAATTTTTAATACGTATTAAAAAGCAATGAGAATGCCTGAATTTGAAAAGAAAAAAAAAAGAAAAAGAAAAAAACATTTTGTAAGATTTCAACAGACCAATCCAACTTCTGGTACCTGTCATGTGGGACAAGAAAAAGATTGTGTCGGTGGAATCTCTAGAGTATATACTGCTGTCAATCAATTAAAGAAAGAACGGCCAAATGCTATTTTTCTGAATGCTGGCGACCATTACCAAGGTACTTTATGGTACAACGTTCATCGATGGAATGTGACGGCTACATTTATGAATATGTTACCTCATGATGCCATGGTAAACTTCACGAACACTTACTGAAAGAAAATTTCAATCTAACTATAATATAATTATCTTTTATTTGTAGACGATTGGAAATCATGAGTTCGACAATAAAATCGCTGGTCTTGTACCTTTTTTAAAGGCTGTCAAAGCACCGGTTGTGGTGACCAATATCGACGATAGAGAAGAGCCTACTATTCAAGTTTGTGGCATGATCATTTTTTACACGATACTCTTTCTCTCTCTTTCTTTTTCTTCATATATCCTTTCTATAATCTGTTCTACTTTCAGGGTCTTTATCAAAATAGTACGATCATCGAGAGAGGAGGCAGAAAGATCGGAGTAATCGGGGTCATTATTTCAACTACGAATGTTGGTATATTCTTTGTTAAATTATAAAAGAAAAATAATTCGAAATATATATATATATATATATATATATATATATGTATGCATGTATATATGTATATATCTAAGGATCCACGATTTATTAGACTATAGCAGACACCGAAAAATTGAGGTTTCTGGACGAAGTAGACTCTGTGAATGAGGAAGCCGAGAAGCTTAAAGCCCAAGGAGTGGACATCATTATTGCTTTAAGTCACTGTGGCTTGAATATAGATAGAGTGATGGCTGCCAATTGTCCTCTTCTTGACGTCATTGTTGGAGGACATTCGCATACTTTCTTATATTCTGGTTTGTCGAAAAAGCGAGAAAAAGGCTTTTATTATGTTTCTATATAAACTTTCAATTACATTAAAATATTTATTTTAATTAGGACCACCGCCTTTCATTGATACGCCCGAGGATGAATATCCTGTAATAGTAACCCAAAAAAATACAAAGAGAACAGTGCTCATTGTACAAGCAGCTGCTTTTACCAAGTATGTAATCACTATATTCATTTTCCTAATGAAATATCGATCGATCTTATCACGAAACATATGATGAGAAATTAACACTATTGATTATTTTTTATATTAACTCAGTAAATCATTTTAATATTAATTAAATAAAAAATTTATTCATTCCCCTATGCTATTAAAGAATCTGAAAGATAAATATTCTATTAAATTATTTTTTAGATATCTCGGCAACTTGACAGTTTGGTTTGACGATCAAGGAGAGGTTGTCGACTGGGAAGGAAATCCAATTCTTTTGGATTATTCTATCGAGGAAGGTGAGTCGGAGAGAAAGGAAAAATTTAAAAAAAAGAAAAGGGAAGTCTGATAAATAAAAATTCATTTTTCATATAGATCCAGATATTTTGAAAGCTCTAGTTCCTTGGCAAAAGGATGTCGATGCACTCGCATGGAAACATGTAGGCAAGACTAAAGTTTTCCTCGATTCCAAATGTAAAGGAAAACAATGCAACTTGGGTAACTTTATAACAGATGCGATGATCGATGCGGTAAAAATTTTTTTATATTAAATATATTTTCGATATATACCTTTACATGTATCAAAATTCTTTTATCTCGCAGAAAGAAGTTGATGAGAAAAAAAAAAAGAATTTTTTTTCACTTTCTCTTTCGATTTTAGTTCGTAGATCTGGCCGAGAATGAAACTTATTGGACTTATGCAGCTATATCTTGCACCAATACAGGTGGAATTCGTGCCTCTATCGAAGATTTCGCTGTTA